TCTCTCTCTGACTGTCTCTCTCTCTCTCTGAGGCGTAGGCGTCTTTAAGCACACATAAGCCTATAATAAACTATATACACCAAGCATGTATAATCAGCTGTTATTTGATTATTTAATTGAATGTAATGTCTTATTTTCCCTTATTAAGTGTCTTAGTGGTTGATGTTATAGCTCTATATGAAATGTGAATGCTGTAATGTGAGTTAGGTTATGTTTACCTTGCTCAGTAGGGGGCTCCATGAATTATAGGAATACATTAGGTCTGAAATTTGCTGCTTTTATTCACAATATTTTAATTTAATGTATATTTTATCTTTAATTAAAGTCTAAAGATGACACTGTAATATATACTGCTGATAAAGATGATGACAACTTAGCTGTTATTTGATTATTTAATTAAATATAATATATTTTCCCCTCATTAATTGTCTATATTTGACGTCTTGTTATAGCTCTATTTGAAATATAAACGCTGTAATGTGAGTTAAGCTATATTTACCTTGCTCAGTAGGGGGGCTCCATGAATTATAAGAATAAATGTTGACAAAATTTGGTATGAAATTTGCTGCATATATTCACAATAATCCTTAATTTAATTTAATTACTTTTTTTTAACAGTTTATTTGCTTTTAATTGAAGGCTTGCAATCTGAGGAGCCACAGTTTAAAGATAGCATCATGCACAATATATTCTGCTGGTGAAGATGAACTGGAACAATATGTCCATAGAATGATCCAAATCCACCATTCATTCATTAATACTCTCAACCCTCCATTCAGAAATGACAGGAAATAACAGGCAGTTTTTGGTCCTCGTTAATATGATAATTAACAGCTTAAGTGTGATGTTGACACGCAGCATTTGTCCACGCTCTCAGGCAACAGGGGGAGTTCATGTAGATAAACAGTTAGCACCTCTTGGTGTCTAGAAATGCTGCTGAAGAGGTGGCAACAGTAGGATTATTGGGATTCAGATTATAAAGTGGGCAGTCAGCAGACAGCCAATGGAGGGAATAAAAAACATGCTTATAGCAGGAGGAGATAGAGAAAACCTGTAATTCTGTGCTTGTTTCATACTCATTTTTCATACTTTGCTCAGCCTGCTTTGAACAGACTGGGCTCAACAGTGTGGGGAAACACCATTTACTGACTGCACAGCTTTGGAGGGTTGTAATGTGTGGTAACAGCAACCCCTTGTGCACGCAGAAAGAAATGTCCCCGTTTTAAGAGCTGTTGATCCACAAACACACGACTTCAGCAAAAGACAAGAGAGAAATCAGCACCCAGATCACAAAATAAAATGAGCTAATGAATTCATGTCAATATTTGCCCGGGAGTAATATTCTTAGTCAAACAAGACTTCCTCTGATGCCTGTGGATTGTATTAAGAGGGAATATATATTGCATGAAAATCTGCTCCATGATCACCACAGCAGGGGGGAATCTGAGGTGTGAAGATGAGCCATTCTGTTAAGATAATACTTCCCAGACTTATAGTAGCACATTTATTCTCTACTCAATGTCAAACAAAAACCCTACTCTTCAAAGGGGGGGGGGGGGGGGGCGCTGCCTCACACGTGTCTCTGGAGATCACATGTCATTCAGGAAAATGTGCACCTGAAGTGTGGGAAAACGTGCCGCCCCACGATGAGGCTGCTTAGGCAGAAGGACACATTGTGAAAGCCTGTGATGGGAAGGATGTGCTGTCAGTGATCTCAGTTTATGGCTCAGATCTTATCTTGTGTGTGGAAATATAGAGAATGAATGTGTGTGCCCGCAGCAGCAGCCAGGTATTGGTAATGTAAGCGTCCACAGAAAAGTGACAATGACTATCTTCTAACTGCCAATTACAGTCGACACGCAGAGATAGGAGAGTGGATAACACATCACTCTCTGATGCTGCACAATTAACCTGTTTCAGACCCTTTTCAGAGAGGTCAGAACATTTCTGCATCTGTAAACGTTGATTTATATATAATTTTTAATGGCTTTTTATTTATAAATATGACCCATAATTCTATATTTAGATTTAGATTTATATATATATATAAACTATGTCTCAAGTTGCTGAAAAAGAACCAAAGATAAAGAATTAAACTATCTGTAGCCTGCAACCTCAGTGGCTGAATATGAAGTAACCAAAGACTGCAGTTCCTCTAACAGCCACT